GATGTCTTCCTCCTGCCCCACCTACGGAGGGTCCAGCTGGTACCTTTTCAATCCTCTTCTGAGGGTGCCAGGGTGATCAGTATGAGACAGGGCTGGCTGCCAGATGGGCAGAGGGAATGTTGACTGACTAGCAGATTCCGTGAGGGTTTCCATGGGAAGGCTTTCCAGGGTGGAAAGACGGAGACACGGATATGGGCCCTGGAGGAGAAGGATTTAAGGCCCGGCGTGTGACCCAGGCCCTTGACATCTCTGCCCTCCTCTTTGCCATGCATGGAAGAGCTGCACCAACTCCACAAAAACTCTGGGTGGGAAGGGCTGGTGCAGGCCTGGCACTTGTCACACAGGAGCTGGGCACAGGTGGACACCTGATCCTAGGTCAGGCAGACTGCTGGAGTGGCCAGAGCTCAGGGCCCTCTGTCTGAGGTCTTGATCCCTCCTTTCTTCTTTTGTTCCTTCATTTTTTCATTCGCCCACTCTTTCCTGAGATGCGCCTCCATGTCACTGCTCCCATGGGCACCAGCCTCAGAGCTCGCTTCCTCCTAGGCTTGTCCCACAGATATGGCACTCAAGCAAGGCCACCAAGACTCAATCCCAGGCCTCCTGCCTCCCCACTTTGGATTTTTCCATTTCTGCTGTGTTCTCCAATCCCAGCCTTGTTTCAAGGGTGACATTTTTGTCACCTCTTACTTGGAGGGTTGAGTAGATTGTCCCTTCCGTTTGAACAGAGGCTCATTGCTCACCCGTGGTTTATGGAAGGGTCCTAAGCCGGTAGTGTCTCCCTTCGTGTCTGTGCTCGCCTATGATTATATATATCTGATACTCAGGATAAAGCAGCTGGGATCTGAGGCCCTGATTTAGTCTAAGTAAAGCAGTTCATTTAGCCCTTTTGCTTGTGCCCTGAGTCTATGATTATCCTCTTCTCCTCTTGCCCTCCACTACTATGGAGTAGAAGCTACTTTGTGTCAGCTGCCTGCTGTCCCATCCAAGAACCCAGAAATGGCCAGCCATATATACTGGGTGAGAGAGATACAGTATGTGGGGCTGGAGCAGCCTGGAGTGGGTGCCTGTGAGAGTTAACTGTTGCTCAAATTGAATAAGAAACATCCAACCCATTGGCTTAGCACAGTTCTGGATTTGACTGAATAGATTTACCGAAGACAGAAGACCCACCCTGGGTGTGAGCGGCACCAACCAATAGGCTTGTAGACAGAATGGGATAAAAAAGGAAAGGAAGAAAGAAAGGCTCACTTCTGTTTCTTTGGAGAAGCTCTAGTCTTCACCTTTGCCTTGGACGTCTGTCTCTTAGCTTCCAGAGCAGCCCCTTCAGCCTTGTGCTGCAGACTCTTTAGCCTCCTACTGCAGACCCTTCAGCCGCCTGATAGGGACTCGCACAGGGTTGATTCTACAGTGAGCCCCAGGCCTTCGACTGTTGCCTGGATCCTTTGGCTCTCCAGCACGCAGACAGCTCTTTTGTATTTTCACACCTGACTCTGCGGTGCCCATTGTAAGCCTACCTGTCATTTGCAACTCGCAGTTATGACTTCTGTAGCACCCTAACTAGAAAAGCCCTCCAAAACAGATCCAAGAGCAGTAGAAAAGTGCAACTGACCTAAAACTGTTAAGCCAACAGGTGACGAAGATTGTCTAGCTGGCTCTCTTCACAGAAAAGGAAGGGCAGGATGTTAGAGAAATATCTCTCTTGGGGAATGAAGAAAAGGGCACTACACTCCAGAGCAGGCGGCAGACACCAAATCTTGACTTCTGCTCTTGAGCTTTCTCCAAATAACTCACTATAACTAGGACTACTAAATGCCCTTTTGCTAGGTATCTCCCAATATTTCCTTTCGTTAAAAAATAATTCCTGAAATTTGAGAGTAGAACGATGATTACCAGAGGCTGGGGAGAGAAGAGGTGGGAAGGGATGGAGCAAAGTTGAGCAGAGAGGGTCAGAGAGTACTCAGCTACAATCAGATAGGGCCAAGAAGTTCTGGGGTGTTATCACGCAGCAGGGTGATGACAGATAACAAAAACGTCCTGGACTTTGCAGAAAGCTAGGTGGAAAGATTCTGAATGTTTTCACCATAGGAGAATGGTAAATGTTTGAAGAGACAAATACGTTTAACCCAATTTAAGCATTGCACGATATATATGTTTCTAAACATCACGTAGTACCTCATTAATATGTACAATTTATGTACGTTTAAAAGGAAATTTAATATAAAAAGAAGAGAAAGACATCTCTCTCTTTACACACCGAAAAAACCCAAAAAACAAAAAACCAGGTGAGCAGAGAACAAGAAGGTGTACATCTGCAAACCAGGGCAAGGGCCTCTCTGGGAGCCAGATTAGTCAGCATTTTGATCTGGGCCTTCCCAGTCTCCAGAACTGTGAGAAATAAATCTCTGTTGTTTAAAGAAGCAAGCAAATAAAAGTTACTCTCTTTGTAGTGTAACTTTTTTGGATATCTCCCCTGCTTATAATATAATAAACTGCTCATTACCCTTGCCCCCATACACAGCCATTTTGTTCAAAATGACTTCCCTTGGAGTAAGCCACAACCTTCTATTTTATTCCTTTAATTTTATATTTGGAGGAAACCCCAGTGCTAATGACTTCTCCATGGCAAATTAAGTGATGCCACATAACCTGGCCCACAAAAAACTAGGCTTCTCCTCCAGCTTCTGTCATGATTTTTGGTGATGAGTTTCTTGGACAAGGTACGAATACCTGATAGAAGACAGATCAGTCAATGCTTTTGCCCACGACTTGGGAATTTGTCCATGAGACAGCGTGAGTCCAACACGCTTCAGATGGTTGTACCCTCGGCATGTGGGCATGGCTCCGTGGACTTGGGATTGTCCAATGCCCTGCGGACTAGAGAGCTACAGGATCTGGCTGGAGCAGCAAAAGGAAAATAAATCCCTCATCAGGGACAGGAGATGGAGGGAAGAGCCAAATGAGTTCTTATTCTGACCTTCTGAGGTCAAGGTACTAGCTTTGCTTTGAATTCTGTTAGACTTCCCTGTGTTCTAAAAATAAGTCTCCCCTGACTCCTTTTAAACAAAATCCAGTTGGTTTCTTTCCCTTGCAAACAAAGCATTCTCTATAATACATTTAACTTTTGCTAAACTGTAAAATGCTTCCTCTATCCTTCTCTTTCTTGTCTTCTTTCCCTTTCTCAATCAAATGTGTGATTGCTGACACATGTATATTATGCAGAATATCAAATATAGGTCAGTGGATGTCAACATAGGAAAACAAGCAAAAGAAAAGCGCATACTGCCCAATGCCTGTCAGCAAAGGACAGGACAATGCGTTCCTCCCCCTTACTAGTGAGAGGGTTGTGAAGGTCAGCCCATGCTTTGGTGTGTGAACTTCTTGTTCCCACCAAATCAGTCAGCTGAAGTGGGAATGTTTTATTGAAGCAGACATGTGTCAGCCTGGGTTTGAGACAAAGACACTCCGCCGGCACGTCCCGTCACAAAAGCAGGCTGTGTGAGACACCTTTGCCAAGGCGGTGATTTTTCTCTATTGCCAGGCACCATTTTGGAAAGTTGCTCTGGGAGGTTGGCCTGCACTTTAATGATGGCTGAGGCACTTTCAGGGCTAATGTTTTTGAAAGACAAAGCACCAGGAAGGTTTCAGGAGAGAGTTGGGGGGAGGTGGTGGAAATCAAATGACCCATTGAAGCTAAATTACCAGCCTCACAGAGCGTTTTTTTAGAAACACCATGCTGCCTCAGCCTGCGGCCACCACTCTCTCACTTGCTCTTCCAATTAATTATTGTGTTTTAACACTATCTCCAAAGATAATTGCCTGTCAGTGTATCAGTATGTAACACCTCGGGGTGAACGATGCTCTTGCACTCCCGTCTGTCAGCACTAATAAACACAGGGTGGGAGAACCCACCTGCTTTCCCAGGAGCACCCAGGATCCAAAGCCTCCTCCCACTTCCCCCTGTAGGGGAGTGCTGGGTGGGCTGCAAGCGAAGACACACACTTGGCAGTAGACAAGGTGTCTTGTCCATCTTGAGTCTAAGAATGGCTTGTTTGTAATAAATCTGTGCTTGTTCATTTAATGTTCAGGGCTGTAGAACAGATAGCAAGGAGGAGACTTTATTTTTCACCCACTGATTCTATCGCCTATCAAAGTATATATAGATCAATAAGCTTTGTAATTACAAAGTTGGTTAAAATCAAATGTTTTCAAAATAAATCCAGGTTGAAAGGGCTCTTTTGTGTTTTTTAAAGCAAGATGGAAGAGTGATGGAATGCCAGGGTGGAAGCTATGTAGCTAAATCCCACTGCATTAAATATTTCAATAGGGGAAAGAAAGAAATTCCCCATCTCAAATTAAATTGAACCCATTCGGTGAATGTTTGAGCATCATATGGAGTAAGTGTCAGTTAAAGTGATAAGTAGTGGGTCTGGTGCCGAGTTCTGGATTGTTCTGAGATCGGCTTCCCTGGCCTGGCCATTCGGTGCACTGGGGCAAATTGAAACTGATCCGGCAAGTTCAACCTGGGATTCTTCTGAGAAACAGATTCTACTTCAATACCTCTGAGTTATTTGGCATTTTATTCTCATTTAAATCTCTGTCACAACCTTTTATTTTATTTTATTTTTGTATTTCAGAGGAACATACAATCCCAGTATCTTCCCTGCAGCATTCAGGGAGCTCAGAACAAATTAGGTGGTGTCGTATAATGTCATCCACGGATCTCGGGGCCCTCCAGCTTCTGTCAGTGTTTGGGGGACTGGGGTGATTTGCCAATTGCGTGCTACAGTAGAATGAAGAGGAAATGGAATTGCTAACAGCACTGAACATTTTCTCCCAAGCCCTGACTTTGTCCTATCTCCTGGGTAAGTGGCCTCTTTGGCAAGCAGCCCTTTCCCATAAGGAATCACCTGGACAGAATCACCTGAGATGCAAGAGAGAGTCTGGAATACTTGAGAAGGTGACGTATATTACAAAGTATGAAGTGGATGCAGGACAGTAGCCTGGACAGCAGGAATGCTCCTAGAGTGTGGCCCATGCTCGCCCCTAAGGTGCACCTGAGGTGCTCATTAGAAACCCTCTATGGCTGAGGACATGCCTGCCAGTGCAGTGTGTTCCATCTTTCCAGGGAGTCCTCTGCTCCCTGATTGATCTTGATTTCCTTGGTTTCACCTCCAGATGGTGTTGGTCTGTGGTCGCCTTCCCAGAAAAGTCCAGTCTTGCCCAGTGCCTTAGACCAGCAATATTGCTAGGGCCTCGTGGTTTCCACATGTACTCCACACATTTCATCTTCACAGAGTCCCTTTCACACTTCTGAGGCTCTCAGATCCCAGAATAGCCAAGAATATTTCTCCTCTGGGAGATACTGGGTTAAGACTGTTGTTTCTGTCACCCTAGGTAGCTGCCATTTGCACAGACACTGATACAGGCCCGCATGAACACTTCGTCACTGTCAGACCCACCTCTCATCTACCACAACAGTTTGGACTTTGGTCATATGCTGGATTTTCCCAATTTTCATCCATTTGTTGGTGCAAAAAGTCCTTCATTGTCTGGCTCACTCTGTTCACCTGCTGATGTGGGCTCCTGTCAGAGGGATCTCCTCCCAGTAAGTAAATTTTTAGTACTCCACTGGGAAGGTCTCAGAAGTCCAACCTGTTACTGCTCAAAATGAATGGCCATGGTCACTAGGCACTGGCTGTCTCACACTGTTTTTCTGTTAGGACCTGGACCCTAGTCAGGCGTCAAGAACCCCTTTGGTCTCATTTATTCCCTGGGCAGCCTCCCTGAGATCTGGAGATCTCACTTTAGCTGGAATCCTGGCTCCAGGTCCAAGCCACGGTTTTCAATCATCTTGGCCACTTGATGACAGAGATTGGCAGATGCTTCCTATGATCTCACAGCCTTTCCAGGGTGTGACATTCACCAGCTTCTTAGCAGCGTCACCTACACAGCCATCATTTCTTTTCTTTTCTTTTTTTTTTTTTGGTACCGGGGATCGAACTCTGGACCTTCCGCTTGTGAGGCAGGCGGTGGAACCACTGAGCTAAATCCCCGGCCCACAGCCATCATTTCTTGGTCTTGAATTCACTCTCCAAGTTCTCATTTGTCTTTTTCTTTTCATGTATTTCAACTATTTGAGGGCACAGCCCATGTCTTTCAATAATTTTCTACTTTCCATGGGATGCCACCCATTCCCTGGCATAGAGCAGTGGGTATAAAGACTGAACCAAGCTCCATATGAGACACTTAGGGAGAGATGGAACTTAACCTGGAAGTCCCCAGGAGTCCTCACAAAACATATGTTCTTAGACTCTGAGTCAGGTCTGGAAGAGGTGCCCAAAGGTGAGTATATCTAGTAAGCTCCAGAGTTCTGATGACTACCATCATTTGGAGCCTCTCGCCTGGAGCTCACTATTGCTTATAGTTCTCAAGATTCTCCACCGGATGTGGGGTATGTGGGCTGCTTGGTTGGTTGGAGCGTGGTGGCCACAGGCTCTCTTCCTGGCTGTGTTCCTTGGAAATCCCTGGACATCCCTCTCTATAGTTGCTGTCCCAATATCCCACAGGTAGTACTTACCATGTATCACATCCAAGGCACAGTTCTCCGGCTCCATTGACTTCCAGTGTGAAATCTCTTTAGTTAGACCAACACGTCTTCTGTCTTCTTGAGCTTGAGAGATGTTAACTTTGCATTATCAGGGCCCATCATCGTGAAACCCCAAATTCTCTGTGCCTGAGCCTGGCTTTGGTTCAAGATTCCAGAAATGCAGATACCATTATCTTGGCCAGTTGATGATAGAAACTGACACACACCTCCTATGATCTCTGAGCTTTTCTAGGGTGTCACATAGAATGAAAGAAAACGGGACTAGTCTCTCACCACAATGATTATGAGTTTTCTCCCAAAATGTAATTCACCACTTCACTTTGCTATTTTCCTCTTTCACTGGTCCATGCCTGGTGAACTTAACTCAGTCCACCCAAGAGACTTAAAAGTTAACAAATGTGCCGAGCTGCCTTCTCCTCCCCTTCCAACCACTGATAGTGACCTAGGACTCTTCAAAGATTATAATTGACCATCAACCAACAATGATGGAACATTCTCAGAAATCTGTGGGATCATAAAAAGGTGGAAAGTATTATGGATTTGACTTCAAATTGTAAGCCAATCTTGTATGCTATTCTCCAACACAATTGCTCTTTAATTATTAACAAAATGTTTTCAATTTTCTCAGTGAGGAAAACCGATGCTTAAAAGACACACCATTTGTACCTTGTGGCATTGTGTTCTCCCTGACATACTTCTTTGTATTATCAGACAACTCTTGTCCCAGTGAGAGAACCATGGCCCTAAAGTTTAGAATTTAAGATATCTTCAACACATAGAAATTGACAGAGACTCTGAGACTCTGAGGGCTGTGGTACAATGATAGTGACAAACCCTAGAGAAGATAAGCAGCATCAGTTGGCCCAGGGATTTCTGGGATGCTGAGGTTGAGGTGGAGGATGCATTGGTGCCCATGACTGACCAAGGCTTCCTGGAAGATGCCCTTGGATGTGCAACGGGACAGTATCAGAGCTGGGATAGTTGGACTTAGTTGTGAGCACATATGAGACATCATTTGAGGACTCTCAGAAATGTCAGAGGAGAATGGAACATTTTTGGAGTATTGGGAGTCCTAAGTAAGCAGATGAGGACAATGAACGAATGAAGTCTAATGTATTACTATCCATGAGATTTTACTTGTCTTCTGAAAAACTTTGGTCTAAGGACTGATCAGAGGCATTGTGGGAAAAAGGCTCATGGAAATCCAGTCTCATGGCTTTAAATACCAACTATATGCTAAAGACTCCCACACTTATATTTCCAGCTCAGACCTCTTTCCTGGACTTCAGTCTTATATATCTGAACACCCACTCAACATCTTGACTTAGACGTCTAACAGGCATCTCAAACTCAACATATCCAAAATCCCTCATCACACCCTACCCAAAACTGTCTCCACCCACAGCTTTCTCCAAACTGAGCTGACAGCACCTCTCTCTTTCCATTAGCTCAGCCAAAAACTTTGGAGCTGCCCTGGATTCCTCTCTTTCTCTCACACGCCACATCCAATAGATCAGCACACCTGGAAGTTCTAGCTTCAAATGGATCCAGATTCTGACCACTTTCCTCATTTCCTGACACCATGTTTCCTGAGCCACCATCATTTTTCCTCCACCTTACAGCAAAAATTCCCTGATGGGCCTCCTGGCTTCCATTTTTGCCTGCCAACCAGATTTTTTTTTTTTTTTTTTTTTTTGTACCAGGGGTCAAACGCGGGACCTTGTGCTTTCAAGGCAGGCGTGGTGCCACTGAGCTAAATCCCTGGCTCCAGATATTCTTCACATAGACCCCAAAGATCCCCTTAAAGGCTAAGTCAAGTCTCTTCTGTGCTCAAAATTCTGCAATGGTTTCCCTCTCCAAATCCCAAATCCTTCCCACAGTCAGCAAAGCCATGAGAGATGTGGGTCTTCTCCCAACTCCATCTGCATGACCTTTTCTCCAAGCTCAACCCCCGCTCCTTCCTGCCCTTCAACTTTGCAGCAAACCTTTGGATCCCTCCTCAACTGCCTCACCACCGCCACCTAGAAAGCTCCTCTTCCACACGTCTGCTGAGCCAACTCCTTCACCCTCTTCACAACTTTGGTAACGTTCCCTTTGCCCCGAGGCCCCCACTTCCCAACCCACTTTCATCCACTGTGCCCTGTCCAGTTCTCATTTCCCCTTAGCTCTCCCTGCTTTTGAACAAACTGCATAATTCACTTACGAATTACAGTGATTGTCTCTCTCCTCTCTCTAGGACGTAAGTTCAGCCAGGGTGTGAATCTTTGTTGTGCTCACAGACGAGTCTGGCATCCCATACAGATAAAATATGAAGAGGCACTCAGTCAATACAGAATGTTGAATGTTTGTGAGCTTGCACCAGATAGCAAAGGAAGGTCCATTGGCAAGGATGAAAGAAATAAGAACAGACAGCCAGGAGTTCTCGGAGGAAAATTGCACTCATTTGTGAAGGTCCAGTTTGAGGATGGAAAGAAGGTTCTTTGCGAAAGCCATGATGAGGGCATCCGCTAGGGATTCCCGACATCTCAGTACTGAATGCAGACATTAAGTAATAATAACAATTGCTGTGCACCTTCTTCCAAGTACAGTCATTCCACCCTCCAGTGATTTTATAAGATAGATGTAATATTGCCACTCCATAGTTAAGGAAGTGGAGGCTCGGGGAGATGGAAAGACTTGCCCAGTGCTATGACACAGGAGGTGACCCAAGTGGACCAAATTCATGTCCTGGCTCCCTCCACTCCCCACCCATTTCTGCTCGAGCCAGAAGAAGAGAGAGAGAATGACAGACACTGGTGGGGCAGTCAGAGCTGGGTTATGGCTTTTTAGAAACATCCAGTCTGGAAGGACTGAGGTCATTCTAACAGATGCCAACCTGCGTTCCTATTGGCAGCTGGGTTCTCCTCCCGAGCACTATGCCAATCCGTGGACCTATGTGGGAGTCCTCCAGCAGCCCCACCCTGGACTGCCCTCCTTCTCCACTCCCTAACCTCAAATGTCACCCACTCTTCCCATTGCACTGGCCCGCTCAACTTCCATTTCGCCTCCTCTTTCGGGGGCTAAAAAATCAACAGTGCTCGGAAGAGCAATTCTGGCATTTTAATCAGAACAATAGAACAGGAGGCCAAAGGGCTTTGTGTTGACAAGACAGACCACACTGAGGGCTGCAGGCTGCCAGCAGAAACGAGTCATAACTGTGTCCAGCTTCATGACAGCCAGACACAAAGGAGGTTATATGCCTTCCGTGTTCAAAATGCTACAGTGTGCACTTTGGAGTTTGCTGGGGTTGTTTTGTCTGTCTCTGTGGATGCTGGCCCACCGCCTTCCTTGGCAGGGGCAAGGGTGTCTCTGTAACTCACTTGCAAGTGTCCCACAGAGCTGGCCCGGCAGACACAACTGGAAATTCTTTGCAAAATGGGTCATGTGGAACTGAATTCCAATCTGAGTGCGTTCACGTGGTAGGTTGTGGGCTGACTCGGCTGCGTTGAAAAGACCCAGCTAGAGCCATAGGCATGTACTGGGATCCCTGCAGCTGGAGCAGGTCTTAGGCAATGTCTGGCCCATCCCCACTTGGAAAACCAAGGCCTAAGCTGGAGGCCATGAGGCCACATGGCAAGCCTTCCTGGGCACCATCACAAAGTCCATCTCGAAGCTCCCTTTTATTGTCCCTGTAGATTCTGTGATTGCCTTGGCCCTGACCTTGGGCTGTCTTTAACTTGCAAAGATCTTTTCAAACCTTGGCTTCCTGGGTTGATCTGGTTCTGCCTATTGCTCCTTAATTGTGTATGTTCACCAACTTTGGTCATTCATTCAACAAATGTACGGAGTATCCTCGCCTCCTGCATTGACCGGTGCTCCCTCCACAATCATAACAAAATCTGACACTGACAGAGCACTTCTGTGTGACAGGCCTGCTCTGAGAGCCGGCCCCATAAAAGCTAATTAATCCGACCACAACCCCAGCAGCAGATGAGCTGCCGATAACATGTGAGGAAAGGAGTTTCAGAATCGATGAACGCCAGATGCTAAGTTCCTTTCCTTCCCAAGGGCTTCCTCCCCGACATCCATAAAAATTTAACTGTGAAAGTTCCACCGATAAACTCAACCCGATCATCCAGGAAATGTCCTCAGCCCCTTCCACTGCACCAGCTTCTCCATCTCCTCCCTTCCTATCTTTGAGTTTCAGCCTCCTTTGAAGGGGAAGAAATATTCTCCTGCTCCCTCAATTGCCAAATGTCATAAGGATTGGACTGGAAAGAGTGGTTCTGTCCTCCTACACACAAAGCCACCCCCAGAGGGACCCTCAGGCCTGTTGCTCTTTCCATGCTGATCTATACACATGTGAATGAATGAATGAATGAATGTTTTCATTTCAGAGACCTTAGGAAACTCTCACTCCTAAGAAGCCCCTGTGTAGTCCAGGAAGCCACCCTCCAACATACCCAAAATCCTACCATCAACTTCTTGTCATCTCAGGCCACTCAGTCTAACGTGGGCCAGGCTGGGTTTTATGGCACAGTGGCCACGGTGCCCCGGGTAGGAGGGGTGGAAACTGCACTGGGACAGGCGCTGGTGCCACTGTCAGTTCGCCTGCCTGGGTCCCTGTGGACTGACCTGGTGTCATCTTGTGGTTGGGATCCAGGGGCTCCAGCCCACAGCCCCTCAGCCAGTTGCTCATGGAACTGATCTGGCTCCGAAGACCAAGGGCCTCTCAGGCTCTGTAATGATTTTTAGGGCCTACCTGGACTTGGGCTTCTTGTTAATCTGCAAAAACAGCTTTGGGGAATGGGGAGGGTTATTTCCACCATCCACTTCTAGGATTTGGAGACCAGGCTCCCCTTGAAGTGGCAGATGGTGTGGCTCAGGAGCGAGGCCTTCTCACCTGACAGATGGGCCTCAAGTGACAAGGACAAGTCGGGGTGCGCCCCAGCTTCAGTCTTACTCCCGTGAAAAGGGAGTCTAGGGCTCACCCCAGGGGACCATCCTGAGACTGTGGGAAAGGTACCTAAAGCAGGGTCGGCCACACAGTGATTGCTGCATGACAAAGGCTGGCTGGGGAGCCAGGGCTACCCCACTACCCTTCCTCCATCCTGCTCCCTGCCCTGAGATGAACCCCACCCCCACATCCACACCCCCGAAAGACCCATCCCACCAGACTCAGAACCCAAAAATGTGTGCATGAGCTCAGCCAGTAAGGGAAGCCACCATCTATTTCCCTTCCTTTTGATTTCTTTTTCAATTTTAATTTCATTTAGCCTGGCTCCCATACTAAAAATACCAGCCCTAGAGATAAAAACGTGTGCATTATGATTTTGCCTCACTCAGCCCTCCACAATACAGCGAGTGCTTGAATAACAGAAAAGACAAACCAGGCGCTCCATGAGATGCTCCAAGCCTGCAGGAACTCTGCGTGCCTGGGGAAAAGGCTCTTTGTGAAGAAATTGATAATTTTCTCCCAGACTGCTGGTGCCCGAATCAGGAAGCGCTGCAGGAAGGCACAGGTCAGTCCCTTTTCTTTCTCTGAATGCAAGGAAACTTTATTCTTGCACAGTCTCATAAATCACAACCCCTGATACACTCTGTGCATCCGTAAGAGGAAAGATCTGCACTTTGCCCACCCTCGGAGGAGCCATCAAGAGCAGAGTGGTCGTAAATCCTCATCAGGCTCCCTCCTGCTTTCGGAGGTCAGTGTGGGGCACCAGCCAAGCAAAGCAGGGAGTTTGGAGCTCTGCTGTCCTGGGTGAGACTGCAAGAGTCTCCTCTGCACAGCTTGGCAGTCCAGGATGTGGCTAGCACTCTGCTGTCAGATGACAGGGAGCTCATTTAGGGGAGCCCTTTCCTGTGGGTGCTCTAATGGTCCTGCGGATCACTGTGGATCCCTGGGAGCATGTGTGCACATGCTGGGTGGTGGGAAGAACTGGGAAGCAGGAAGGTGGAGAGCAGAGTCTCCTACGAGTCTCCTTACTCACCTCAGCACCCAAACTCACACACTGTTTTTCAGATCGGTTCCCTCTGGCTTTGCACGTACCAAGGGGGATGGTGATGTCCCTGGGTCCCTGTGGACAGCAAGAGGTTCCCCTAAGGTGATAGAGTCACCTTGGAGAGGGTGCCATTTAAGAAGAAAAATACCCATCTAGAAGACAGTGAGGATCTCAGGGCTCAGGTGAGTAGAGGGAGAAGAGACCTGGGTCCCTGCAGGTTCTGCCGGGCCAGATGGTCAACTATATGTTCATTGGCTGTGTTGTTTTCTCTTGATGGACGGTGTTGTGGTTAACTTGGTTTCTTTACTTTTTAACTTTTTTTTTTTTGGCAGTTTGGGGCTCAATCCCAGGGCTCATGCATGCCGGGTAAACATTCTACCATCAAGCCATATCCTCAGCCCTTTTTATTTTTTTATTTTGGGACAGGGTCCCTGAGTAGCTGGGATGACAAGCATGCACCACCACATCCAGCTATTTTTAAATTTAATTTTACAATCTCTTTCAGATCTCCACAAGGCTTCCTTATTGCAGTGGCAGAATTAAAAGGTAGAAGGGTGTCAAGAAGTGTGGCCCCCTCCTTGCCCCTCCACGGAGGCCACAGTAGAAGTAGGTGCTTCATGTGACCTAGAAGGGTCAGGGTCACCTGGGGAAGTTCTGGTGTTGCCAGCAGGGACCCTGCAGACACGAGGGTGACCCCCATCCCAAATACACGAGAGGAGGGTCAACCTCCACAGGAACAAGCATGTCTTTAAGTTACACCAGCAGCTGGGTGGGGTGGTGCACACCTGTAATCCCAGCATTTCGGAGGCTGGGGCAGGAGGATCGCCACAAGTTCGAGGCCAGCCTGGGCTACATAGAGAGACCTTGTCTCAAAACAAAAAAATGTTTTTAAAAGTTATACCTGCAGAGAATTTCCAGTGCATAGGATGTCGATGGCATTTTGTCCCAAGCATCAAGAGAAGTCCTTCAAAAAAATTTTTTTTCAAACAATATTCCCTACTCATTCTTTTGCCTCTATCAAATTAGAAATTTGTCTGTAAGGGCTGGGGATATAGCTCAGTGGTTCCGGCACCTGCCTCAAAAGCACAAGGTCCCGAGTTCGATCCCAGGTACCAAAAAAAACCCCCAAAAACCCAGCAGGATCCCACAGATTTAGGGCCAGGGATTTAGCTCAGTGGTTTCACTGTCTGCTGCGAAATTTGTCTGTGGGCAGGGTACGCAGTTGGTCATCCACTCAACAAAGCTATGTAGAGCAAACACCCACTATTTGCTCTGTCCGCTTCTCAGCTTCTGCAGAGGACATCAGAAATTCTAGAGCCAATCTGTGGGGTGTGTTCTTCAATTTTCCTTGGAAATGTATCATTGAATCAACTCTTAGCTATTCCAAAATTGTTTACCTCCCTGTTCCTTTTCTAAACCCTTCTCGGTACCAGCAGATCAGTGATGAGTTCTGCCCGTAGCAGAACACCCCAGCACTTTCAGGCACTCTCCTCCTAAGCTGTTCCTCACAAGTGCTTCTGGCTCTGCTCATCTTTTCCCTAAACACCCTCAGCTCATCCACAGCATCCCAGGTGGCTCCCAGTGCCACCACTGCCTTGGCAATCCTCTTTGTGGTTCAAGTGCCCCAAACTCTAAGCTACAGACACCTGAGATTTATTTCAAGGATTCTCTGAATCCTGTGGTATTGTGTTTCTTGGGATTTGATTCAGTTGTGTGTAATAGAAAAAAATAGCAGTAACTTAAAACAAGATCGACATCTCTTATTCCCTTACATGAAAGAGGTCTGGGAAGGCTGTCTGGGGCTGATGCAGAAGCACTCTGCTTAGGTCAGGGCCTGGCCCGCTATCTTTCTTCTCTGCCGTCCTCAGGATGCAGCTCCCATCCTTACCATCTGGGATGGCTGTGGAATTTCCGGCCATTGGATCTGTGTTCCCGACAACAGCAGGAAAAGTGGAAAGGAAAGCATGTACTCCTGTCTTAGGATTTGGCTCAAGCACTACACAATGCACCCTGAGGTCAACATTTGGTCTTGCGGTCTCATCCCAGCTACGAGCGAGGCTTAGAGACGACACAGCCCTGTATCCGGGCTGTAACATGCTCGGCTAACAATAGGCATTCTGCTCACGGAGGAGGAGGATGCAGATTTGATAATCAAGGAGGAATCTCTGCCGAAGCCCCACGCTTGCATTAGGCATTATCATGGGGACTGTGGGAGACGGGGTCGTGCTGTTTTCCCATTGTAAACAGTTGTTCCCATAAAGGTTGGGGAGCCACAGTGATGTTTTTGTATTAAATGTCTTTGCAGTACATAGTGGTAGAATTCCTGGGTGGAGCTGGTGCATACACATAACACATCTTCATTTCTTTTTCCATCCCCTTTCCCTCCCCTCCCGTCTATCTCTTGGTGTCCTTCTCGTTTGAGAAAGATCTATTTCCCTACTTCTATTATCTGTCTTTTATTTTACTCTTTATTTATATTTTGGGTTTCTCATACAAAAGAAACCATGTGATATTTAAGCTTGTGTGCCTAACTTATTTCACTTAACATTATGGTCTCAAGGTGCATTCATTTTCCTACAAATGACTTAAATTTCTCCTTCTTACTTTATCCTTCTTTATGGCAGAGTATTACTCCATTGAGTATAAATACCACATTTTCTTTACGCCTCCATCTGCTGGTAGACATATAGGCCACTTCCACTGTCTTCAGAAAGGTATTGGCAGGATCAATAAGGTGATGCATGTTAAACCAACCTGGAATATCACCCAGCATCCCAGAGCAAGGTGCTGCTACATTCAGTCATGAGAAATGCAGAAATTGCATTTTCCACCCCGTTAGCAACACACCATTTGTTCACAGACCTCTGCTCCCCGCTCACATTAGGGAACATTAACAATCCCAGGATTATTTACACTATTACCCAGCAGAAGCAATAAAACCAGGGAGGGAGTGTTGATAAAGTTTAAATCTATTCTGGTTTATGAAACTTGGCCGTAGGTAACCCCTGTGGAGAATCACACAGTTACAGGCCAAAACAGGACAAGGGGAAAATGGAAGCTCCCCTCCCGGATAGTTAGAATCAACAAATGTGTTAGGGAGATAACAGATAAGCCCCCACAGGACTACTTGGCTTCCTGGCTGGAGGACACAGTAGGAAAAATAAGAGCCTCAGGCCTGACCTGCAGCCCAGCCATGTGGGTGTGAACAGTAAAGGATCCCACCCCAACACCCCAGGAAGTGCGGTGCACAAGCTCACCGCAAAAGTGGAAGACAAGCAGCTGCACGAACAGCCCCTTAAAGTGAGGCGCACACCAGCCAGCTAAAGGATCTCGTAGAGCCTCAGTTTCTCCATCTGTAAAATGGGCTGGACTTGATCAGACCATTTTCCCCCTCTGCATTAATTTACTGCATACACTGTTAGAAGCAAACTGGTTCAACAGCAATAGGAACCAACACAGAAAACAGAATAGAATGTCGAAGTGACCCTGAGGTGAGCTGGGCCACGGCGATGACCAGCCACTGCCCACGTCCAGCACAGCGCCTCCCTGAGCCCCAGTGCTCCACAGCACAGCTGCAGGGCTGCTCCTCAGAACTCCGGAGCCTCTCACAGTGCAACCTCTGATGTTCTTCCACCCTTTAGGGGTCCTCTGTGACCTGTGGCCTTCCTGAGGCTGTTCGAGCCCCAAACTCTTCCAGGCTGGCAAGCACCGCTCAGGACAGGGATGCGCATCTGGACACACCTAGCCCAGGGCCCAGAGGTGTCCCAACTCTTCCGGCTCCAGCCTTCCGGTATGCTGACCTCCAGCCCAGCTGGCCCAGCTCCACCAACAGTTCAGCCCCTGCCTGCGAGACCTTTCTCCTGAGACCTGTGTGTGTGTGTGTGTGTGTGTGTGTGTGTGTGTGTGTGCGCGTGTGCGCGCACTGTCTGGGCCTCTGTTCCATCGCCTATCCTGGCCTCTCACCAGGGTCTGAAGAGGCATGTGTGTACAGCGTTTTCAAATAATCTGGATTTTTAAAAAAAAATAATAAAACTGTTTTTTTATTGCTGTTCCCAGCCCACCTAGCGCCAGCTGCGATGAGAATCACTTGTATGGTAAAGTGCTATTGATGAAATTGCTCCCTCGGGAACACACTGAACCCCTGCAGCGCGATTGGCTCCTGCTCAGCTCCTGCAGCCGGCTGTCCCTCCCTCTCGTCTCTCCCTCTCCCTCCGGCCTCCCTGCCTCCTGGCTTTCCCCCTCTTCCTCTTCACCTCCTTCCACCGTGCTTTCTGCCTGTCCCCTACCCTTCTTCCCGCCCACTGGCTTGCTCTGCCTTTCCCTGGAACACCCCTGACTCTCAGGCCTGCTCCTGTACCTCTCTGCTCCTCGCTGTCTGTCTCCCGCTGTTTGCACATTGCCCGCCACTGAGACCTGGTGAGGCCTTTTGAGCAGCCCTAGCCCCATCCTTCCAACCTGACCCTGCCCTCGCCAGCCTCTTGTGCTCAGAGGACTCCAGTCTCTCCTCCTCCTCCTCCACCTGCCCCAGCTTCCCCTCTCCTGCCTGAGGTGCACTGGGACACAGAAAGGCAGTTAGGAAAAGGGTCGGAGAATCCAGGGAACACTGTATAATCTCCAGGAAGAGCGGGACACAAGCATGGTGTACTGAAAGGTTTCACTAATATACTGACTCATATAATTGTGTGGGCTTCAGGCTCAGTTCTATCCAGACTCTAACTCATCCATTTCTAGTGGTTTCCTCAACTCTTACTTTCCTGCATGGGTATCTGCTTGGTTCTCGCAGAGATACACCATCTGCAAACAGCAACCTGGGCCAAGGGCTTCCTTGTTCATTTCTAGCAGGAGAGAAAAAAAGAGCTCAGCTTCCCAAAACCACCAGTTTTCTGTCTCAGAAACTGGATGATGTCCCTTCCTGAACCAATCACAGGTACAAAGGACAAAGCAATCGCCCTCACACCCATTGGTACTCCCTCTGAAATGAGGATAGCCCCCAAATTCATGCTGCTCCTCAAGAAGGACGGAGTGGCTGGATGTCGGAGAGTCCATGACCCTGGGGAGCAGGGGATGGGGCAGCTGGTAAGCAGAGTATCAGAGCAGTGAGGTCAGGGGAAGAGCTTGGGGCCAATGTTGCATCAAAATGATCACAGGCTATCCCTGACTAGCATGCAAAACACACCTGTGGTTTTTAACTAAAGCCTGAAACTTCCAAGAAACCGCTTGACAAAGCTGTGTGAGGGTTGGCTTATACCTATTTTAATTATTACTGCATTTTTGACCCATGAAAAATGCACAGTAAGTGCTTATAGGCCAACCAAGCAAGCAAGTGAATGAATGGAATGAATGAATGAACACTTGGTTGAGACAGACAACAACCTCAGCCTACTTCAGAAGTGGAGAGTCTCAGCCTCTCCATTAGAAAAACGCTGCAATAAACAAGAGGGGGTGTCCAGGGAATTGTTTTTCTTCTTTAAAGAAAATAATAATAGCCATACTGAGATATAATTTGTGGGCCATAAAATTCACCCTTTTAAGTGTATAATTCAGTGGATTTGGTAGATTCACAGCATTGAGCGACTGTCACCCCTTCCCGGAGTTTTATGAATGACACCCACAAAGGTCGAGGGCTCCGGGTGTGAAGGATTGGGGTGCAGAGGGCAAGGGCTGGCGAGAGGGGAGCACAGCTGGGAGGGGACAGAGATCCACCCGAAAGCGGTGGCTGTACTAGGGGCACAGCAAGGGAGGCCCAGTCGGAGGGTGCTAACAGCAAGACTGGTGGTGTGGTTAGGATCTAGAATGTTCCTCACAACTCTCATGCAGCAGAGGCGGGGCTTTAGGAGGAGGTTCCCCCATGTGTAGATCCAGCCACTGCTGCATTCAGCAGCCCAATGTGCTGTGGGGAGCTGGGGCCTGGCTGGAGGCCATGAGGTGAGCAGCTTAGCTCCACCAGGCCCTTCCTCGGAGGTCTCTGTCCCAGTGCTCAGCCGCCAAGGGTCCCATGGCATGAAGTCCGAGCTGTGCCTAACACAATGGGGATGGAAGGGCTCTGCATCCCGAAGTAAAGGAGACTGCCCGCCTCTGTCTTATTGAGAATCTTAAGTATTTGATGGCTGGGGTCAGGACTGGGGTTCAGAGCATCCCTTCCCCATCTCATGAAAACTGCTTCCTGTTCTTAGGAACCCCAGTGTCTGACCCTTCCCAGGGTCACCGTGCCCTGTATCTCCTGGCCTCCTCATCAAAATGTGAAGCACCATTGACCTTCCGCATCCATTTGGTCCACACCCATGAATGCAACTAAGCACGGATCAGAAATATTCAGAAAGGACTGCATCTATACTGAACATACCCACACTTTTCTTGTCATTATTCTCTCAACAATGACAGCAACTTACACAGCATATTACAGGAACCTAGAGGTGATTTAAGGTACATAGGAGAATCCGCTCAGGGTACATGCAAATGCTACGCCATCCTGTAGAAGGGACTTGAGTGGCCGTAATTTGGGTATCTGGGGGGGTCCTGGACCAAGGCACAGAGCAGTATCCAGCCATCATCCCCGGACAGTGGTCAGCACTCAGCTACCAATTGGCTGATCACAAGCCCGGCCTGGGGTAAAAGGCAGGACAGGATGCTGGGGGAGAAAAAATGAGCGTAGAAGTAGGAAAAGGAGTCGACAAAGAATTATGTTTGTCATTTCATGGCTCAGAGTGGGTTTAAGGAGGCAGGTGTCCTATAGACTCGTGTGTGGTTGCCACCAGACAACAAGAGCAGAAGTAAATAGAGACGTTTATACCCAGGAGGGCATTTTTCAGATGAGGAAAGATCCCCACCAAGCCCATGAAGGGGGTGACCTGCCTCAGACCCCACAGAGAGTAGGTGGCAGGACAGGGTGGGACCAGTAGCCTCCTGGACCAGTGTCCCCGAAGCCCAGGTAATTGGCACCGGGGGCCCCCCTCCCTGCACAAACCATGCATGGCTCCCCAGCACTGAGTCAGCTCTGTGCCCCAAAAGGATTTCTCTTGGCAGAAAATGGAGGTAAAGGGCAAGGAGATATTTCCAAATGGGTGATCTGACAGCTGCAAATTTCATTTTGTGTTGCATATTGACCTCTAATTGTTTCCCCGGCAGCCTGGGACCCAGAGATCAATAAATCCCACAGATAGTTAATATCCCTTCTGGCATCTCAGGCTTTAGTTAGAAAATAGTCAAATTCATGGCTCTCTGCAAATTTCTACAGATTTTTTTTCCCCCTCTCTGCAGAGGCTGATGAGCTATCCTTCAGCCCAGGCCTGGATGCGGCCTGGGAATTCCCAGCAACCTGGAGGGCAGAGCTGGGAGGAAGTCGTAGAGCTGCCACCCCACCTCCCCTGGTCCTGATGAAGGATGGAGAGACAGGGTGGCCACAGGGGAATGAAGGGTCCCCTCAGCCTCTTGTTGCTCTTTCCACAAGACCAAGCAGCCTCTGTCAAATGACCACGATATCCCGGGAGTGTGGCCATCTGTCTACCTCTCCCCACAGATCTTAAAGGCTGGGTGGGTTGGCAGAGGAAAAAATGGACTTGTAATCTCAGAAGCAGTCTCCCTGCCATCCTCTTTCTCCGCTCCATTCATCGGTGGTTGCCCTTGACCACAGACCTTTCTCTTTCTGCTCAGCCTCAGTTTTCTCAGCTGTGCAATAGGTGTGGCCATCATTCCTGTCTAAAGGACCGTTGTCATCATCGTGAGGGTGAGTGTGTTACTAAGCGATATCCTCACCCACAGCCTGCACACAGGGAGAGGGTAACCTCCAGGGACCCTGTGAAGCTCCGGAATACCTGACTGAGGCCAGATCAGCTGCAGTTCTGCAGTCCTCAGGCTGCCGGCTGTGAGCCTGAGCTTACAGGGCACCCTGTCCAGGGTGTGGGCCACCCCCTCCTCAGCAGTGGCCTGGTGGCAAGGGTGGAACTGTGAACTCTCGAGAGTCTCCTTCACACACACATCCTGCCACTTCCTTTCTCACTCTCACACACACAACCATACATGCACACATGCCTGGCCAGGAACCCCAGGTCAGGGTGGGCATCCGGTCTTCATCCCGTAGCCGGGCAAACTGAGGGCCAAACTCCTCCACCTCTCTTCTGCATAGCCAATGTCAGCACTGAAACTCGCTTGGGCACACCTCTCTCTCTCTCTCTCCTATCCCCACTGTGCCTCCTATGCCCTGGGTTCCTCAGGAAGAATGCCCATCTGCCGAGGGCAGTCCATAGCACACGACACTCACTAGCCAGCTGTGTGATGCTAAGAAACTTCCTCACCCTCTCTGGGCTTCTGTTTTTGCCTTGTGTGAAATGCAGGGGTGCAGCTTCCTGTACTTGCTTGTCTAACAAGGTCTCCGTTAGGCACCACAGCCCGAGAGAAGGGAAGGGCTTGGCGGATCATTGAATCTAATGCCTTTCAGATAGTTACACTGGCAGATGAATCTTTAGGCTGTTTTTAATTAAGAACAGAGCTGCTTAGGCTGAGCTGGAGGTGAGGCTGGCCTTTACTATAGCCTCCTCTGGCAAGAAATAGTGCAGATCGTCTGCCTCCGTTCAGTGAGGGGGAAGGATGGGGGGACTGAGGTGCCCCTGAGAGGGCACTGATCAAGCCCCACACAGCCAGACCTTGGAGGCCCTGGGATCCCCGGATGTGAGCAAGGAGGCCAGGAAGCCAGCTCCCACCCTGGGGGCTGCAGCACCTGAGGCCCCTGAGCTCTGCCCATGGTTGCCAGGCAACCACCCCCCACCCCCCCCATTAGCGCCTCCCAGCCGTCCTGCAGCCAAAACTGGTTTAGAAAAGGCTGGCTTGGCTGGCAGGTGGGAACAAGAGGATTAGGCCCCATTTGACAGGCAATGTGCCCCCATTTGCATGTCTTTAAGTGGCAGGCCAGTTAGTAGAGAGGACACATAGCTCCAGAGTCCCTGCCAAGCCAGGGTAGGGAAACACAGCTTGATCTATATCTTGGACATCTTCCTTGAGCTACAGGGGCAGACTGGAAGGAGAAGGCTGTCTTGCAGAGATGTCTGGGATGCTGTGGG